CTTGTGTGGTCAAATTATTCCCCAAATTAAACATAAATAAATAAATAAATAAATCAGAATATGGTCATTACTTAGAGGTGCGTGCATATGGATGTATAAAGATTTAATATAATACAAATTTGTTGAACAATGAATTGTGGAGCAATACCAATGTTAATAAAGCTTTGTTGACAAGGATTCAAGACCATACTAGAATAATGTGGAAACCTTATCAAGAAAGAATTTTAAAAATGGTTTTGATTTAAGAAGAAAAATGGCAATATGTTGGATTCTAGAGTCATATATAATGGTTTTATAATATAAATCTAAGTAAAATAGAATTAAAGATTTAAGTATAGATTACTATGTTTTTTTAGCTTCTAATTGTTTCCATTAGGTACTAAGATATATGTAGCATCCTTATTATTCTAACAATTAGTGCAATAAAACAATTCTATTTACAAAAGTATTAGTTTATTGTTACTTTAAAAACTATGTCAAAATTATTTTCTTTCTTAATTGAAAAATATCTCTTAAGCTTAGAGTTTAAAAACTCTAAATATTTATTTTTGAAAAATATTTTTACAACTCTCTTGTAAAATTTGAGTTGATATTTTAACTTGTAATAATAAGATAATGATATTATTTGAATATATAAGATGTCTTTCAACATTTTATTTTTTTACTTAATTATTTTGGTAAATATAAAATATTATTCTTAAATGGGCAATTCTTTACTCTTTATAACAAAATTAATTATTCATTGAAAGCAAGGAAAACAAAATAAATGGTAATAATATAGACATAAATGAAATAAAACTATATGTTAACTAAAATTATGAAGCAAAATATATAGATGAATTTAATCATAAAACCTTACTTTTAAATTATTAAATAGATAAATTTTAATTTTGATATTTTTATTCATTTATTAATTTATTGTCTCTTTTGGATCCTTATATAAGCAACAATATAATGTTAGTTTCTATAAGAAATCAATAATTATTATTTTTAAGAAGAAAAAATATTATTTTCTTAATTTTACTTATTCCAAATTTAATTTAATTTTTGTTAAAAAATAAAAAAAATTATATTTTTAGTTTTTACTATGATAAAATATAAGAAATATATTAATGTATAATAACTAAATACAAACATACATCTATACACAAACATGTATGTATGTATGTATATTTTAATTTATATCTATAATTTTTTCAATTCTCTTAACATCAAAATAATATAGATGAATTTTAATTTAAAACTTAATCAAATGATAAAACTCTTCATAAGTATTTTATATACTTTTAAAATAGTAGTTAACCACATTTATAAAATAATATGATGAACAAAATTTATTGAAAGAACTATAAAAAATACATATATTTTCAACATACATGTATATATGTCAATGGCATTTAATTTGAAATCTTTAAATATTGAATTTTATTTTTTGATTTTCTTGCATTTGAATCTTAAATAAGATAAAATAATTACTTTTCAATTCCTAAAAGCACAACTAATATGCCCTAATATTTTTTAAATATTTATTGATATTTTAAAAAATACTAAATACAACTAAAATTATTTATAAAATTTTATATTATATATCTGTATTACATATGCTAAAAGAAAACATTTAGAAATAAAACATAAAAAAACTATTTGTGATGTGATCACATGCTAGAAAATAATTAAATTTTAATGCACAAATTGTTGTTTTAGATGGAGATTATAAAATATTAGTTGCTAAAAATACTATTTAAGGAATAAAAATAAACAAATGAGTAGTTTTATATATGTATAATAAATACTAGTATTGCAAAAAGTTAAAATTTTAAATCAAAATAAAATTAAGTTCTTTTGAAGGATAAATACAATTTTACAAAAATCAAAATTATAAATAAATTTTAGTAATATAATATAATTTTTTAAATGTATAAAATTATTTTAATATATAATTATGTAGTATTTTTTTTATTAACTTGACATAAGTTTGGTCAATAAATATTATTATACTTTATAAATAGTTAATGTATTGAAAACAGTACAAATCTTAAGTAAACTAAATAATTTAAAATATATATATATATATATATATATATATATTTATTTATAATATTTTTGTTTAAGTATACATATAGATACAGTGTGAAATATTAAAATTAGGGTTATTAATATTTAGCTATTAAAAATTACTTTAGAGTAGTAATTAATTCAATATATAAAAAATATTTTTCTAAAATAAGAATTCCTATAAATATTAAATATAAAATTTACATTTATTTGAATAAAAAAAAAAAAAAAAAAAAAAAAACTATAAGGTAAATTTAAGTCACTATTAATGTATTGATGATGTATAATTTTTTATATTTTAATTTATTAATATATTTAAAATAATAAAAATTAATAAAAATATAATTATGTCTTTTTTATGCATTATATTATTATAATAAGTATGAAATAAAAATCACATTTAAATATGACTACAAAAAATATATTTCTAAAGCTATTATACAAGTTACTAGCAAAATGATAGTTGATGAATTTAAATTTGTGTTATCTGATAATATTTCTTTTTGAATATTATATCTATCTATAATTATTAATAATTTTATTATCTGATTATATAAATACATATATATATATATATATATATATATATATACATATAGACATACATACATACATACAGCCATAATAGTAATAACATCTTTAAAAGTTCTTAATATACAAGATATAAAGATAATAGGCAATTAATATAAAAAATATTTAAAAATCAAGAATTGGTATTAAATCATGCAAAGTGTACTTGTATATATATATATATATATATATATATATATATGTTTATAGTAATAATAAAAGTAATAATATTGTACTAAAAACATTTTAGGCTTGTGGATATAGCTTAGACAAAACATGCAAACATTTATGCAGAATGTCGATGTTTGCAAGTTTCAGATGATTTGGAATTCTAATTTAACAAAAGAATTATATTCTTAAATTTAATTAATTTTTAAGAATTGAATATTTAATTTTAAAAATTAAAAAATAAAAAATCATACACAATTGAAAATTCTATTAATTCAAAAGTCAAATTCCTCAACTTGAAGTGAATGAAGATTTGCCACAAGATATAACAATAAAAAACAAGTTGAAAAATGAAAAGTAAGAAGAGAATGGTGCTTGTTCCATAGTGAAAAATGAAGGTCAATTTGTGAGAAGATTCAGAAAAAAAAAACACACTTTAGTAAAATTTTCCTAAGAACCATATCATTCATACAATGATATGATATTTTCTTCCATCCACATAATGTTCTTAGTGCATGTTGCCTTAAGGTAGCCAACAGGCAATGAGTTGTGCAACATCAAATCAATTTTAAATGAATTAAATCAATATAGAAGTTCATGTCATAGAAATGCTAGTATAGAGATTAAAGAATTTTGTTGAATTGCGCAAGGTATGTGTTTGAGTCTGATTGCTACCGCTACATGTTGTATGACTTTAAAACCACTCTTTTCAGTACTTAGGACCTCCTTCCATGTACAATTGGTGGAAAAAAAATATAGCTACAGCCCAAAATTCTCCACCAAAAGTTTGACATATCATCACTTTTAGTAACAAGGTTAACAGATTGTCTTTAACCAACTTTGAGGAGTGAAAAAGGTGGGTTGAGTTTTCTACTGATGTATTGGTGAACTTCTGACTTGCAATAGAAATTCATTAAGTCTTTTTATGAGCTTATATGAAAAATCTTATAAGAAAAAAATTCAAACATTTTTTTTACTTCTTTCCAATATTTTGTAAGTAGGTCCTAAGTCATAAAGTGCTTCACTTCCTTCTACATGGAAGTACAAATTTTGAAATTAGGTGGATTGTACTTGGAGGGGATCTCAAGTGTGGACAAAGTCCAAAAATAGAATTGCCTATCCATTGACCATAGAAGGATGCCTTTAGGACCTCCTATGCTTGATTGGTGGGCAAAAGTGTAATCAAAATACAAAAATCTCCTCCAATTTTTGACACATCATCCGTTTCAGTAATGAGGCCAGTAGCTTGTCCTTCACCCATTTTGGGCAGAAAAAAAACTTGGGTGGAATAGTCTACCAATGAATTGGTGGACTTTTGACTTGCAATAAGAAGTCATTTGGTTTTTTTTAACTTCCTATGAAAGTTCAAAAAGTGCTTCACTCCCTTATACATGGAAGTGCAAATTTTGAAATTGGGTGGATTTTACTTTGCAGGGATCACCGGGTGCAGGCAAAGTCCAAGAATAATATTGCCCATCCATTGAAAGCGGAAGGAGGCCCTTAAAGAAGTTTCATTAAACCTGTTAGAAAGAAGGTTTCTTCCTTACTCTCCCTCCTTTGCCGCCGTGGCTTATATTCTTCTAGGCCCAGTTTTTGCTGGAGGGCGTGGGCCTGATATCCTGTTATGGATGTAGAAGAAAAAGTGCCATCGTACAATTGTAGGGGGAAATTCTGCCCCAGCTGAGAGAAGAGGCCAAAGGGAGGAGGATCTCACAACCACACATCCCCATTCACATGTGACCACAACGGCGTTGCTACTCCTCTGGGTCCTCCTCTTTCCACAGTTTCTTATCTATTTTGGAGTTCTTATGGACCCCACAACTGACAATCTCATATTCTCCACCGTTTAATAGTTCATTCATTGTGTACTAACAGTGGCCAGCAGCTTCTCCTGGGATAGCAAGAAAGCCCAGTGGAACTTCCTGATGCAGCAGGTGCCGCCAACCAGGGACAGCATGCGACAAAACAGAAGGAAGGAAGTTTCATGCTCCATTGTAGTGGATTATCCACGTGCTTTTCGCACGAAACCAAGCATTTCCTTACATCGACCTGAACTGCACCACAGTCTCCACATCTCGCGACGGGGTTTCGACGATGCGGATCATCGACCCCGGCTGGACTGACTGCTGGTGGCTCGTGGATCGCGACGTGCACTGAGCTTGACGAATGCTTGTGTGAGATACTGCAACCTAGTGAGGAAACAAAGGTGAAGAACTGGAAAGGCATACAAGTGATTCTTGTTACGGATTGAACTGGTACACATGTAAAGAAAATTCTGCTAACTGATCGAGCTCGAAATGCGTACATGGAGCTGGAATGACTTTTCAGTAAGGCTGATTTCCTCGGCCCGAGATTGGCAAAGGAGCAAACGTTCCTGTCTAGATTAATATCGCATGCGGCTCATCTGATTAGCGATTACTACTTATACAAGCACTTTACAACTAAGTCTCGGAAGTCGTATACTAGGTGAAGGTTGATATAGAATGTGAACATCTCAGATCCGCCCTTCAGAGAGGTAGAGGATGTTCAATAGTTGGTCTGCGGTGAGAACCCACAATTGAACTGTAAATCACCACAATGGCGGATCGCCGTCGTCACTGTCTTCATCGCTGTCATCAGAGTCACTTTTGGGAGGCTGCATCATCATTCCTCGAGCCATCTCATGCACTTGATTGTAGGGGTCATCGTCATAGCTACGCCAGTTGTCGTTGAAGGAAGCCTGTGATTCAGTGCCATAATGTGTGTTGGTCGAGCTTCCTGTGTAGGTAATGTCTTCGATCTCTTCATCGCTGTCAGAAGATGAGCCAGGCGACATGAAATTGTTGTACGAGAAGGGGCGACCCGCAGATTGTGCAGCTGCGGCGGCTGCAGCGGCTTGGATTTCACGCGTGCTGTAGCGCCCAGGGCTGCCCGGCGGAAGCCTGTAGTTGAAGTTTGGGAAGTTCAGATTGTCAGTCGAACCCCGGAGACACAGCATGGCGGCGTCGTAAGCATGTGCCTGAGAAACAGCCAGCACATTCCATCAGTATCCATCAATATTCAGCTCGTGATTAAGCAGAATTGACAGAATAAATCATACCAGCAGTAAGAGACGACCCATTCTTGAACTTCGAAGGATAGTGTAGTACCGCTTCTTCCGCTGATCGGAATGATCCAAGCCAAATGCGGTTCGTTCGCGAACCACTTCGCTGAGGCTCTCTAATCTCCGATACCCACTTTCCCCAGCGCCTCATTCGAATACCACGGTACCTCGTGTTACTATTGCCCGACATCTCTTGTTATCTCGAAACCTCGACTCGAGAACGATATCAGGAGAGGCCAGAGATGATAGCCAGATATTCAGGCTGCTTGATTTCTGAACACAGATCCGATAGAGTTACCGAACCGTGAGAATATTAACTTAATGTAGCGATGGGATAGCGAAGCTTAAAAGATAAGATTTCACCGAAATCTCTGCAAACTCTATGTCGATCAAGATTCCTAGTTATCAAATTTAACATGAAAGCTGAAATTTGAAAATCGAGTCCTCAAACTCACTTAGAAAGTACCAGCAATGAGGTCGATTTGCTGTACAGGAGACGACTATTGAGAAAAGCACAATCACCGCGAGCTTATAAAACACCCAGCGAACTCATCTAAACGATTTTTTTTTTTTTTTTTTTTTTTTTTTTGACGTTGTCAACATGAATATCTCACAGTTTAACGTAGACAAGCAATAATACCTTGATGTCTTGAAACTAGAAGACTAAATGTACTTACAATCTAGCAGTGATTAACGACGTGCACAAATAGTTGACGGTTTCGATTCGATGAAAACACCACCATTCATAACTCATGACCTTAGGAGCAATTTCAGCTGCGGGGGCACACAACCTCTATCTACAAGGATTTTCAGTCCCAGTTCAATAGCTTTGTAATGCTAAGTGACAAAGACGTTGAGCTCATTGAACCGAACTTACTTTTAAGTTGATCGCCAATCCGACCAATCACCCAGATCAATGCGGCGGCTGCGGTATAGCGTTTGAGAGAATGTGGAGATCTTTCGTGTGAAGTGTGGGCTTTGGACAAAGAAAGCCATGTATGCGGTGCAAAATATAGGCGAGTATAGCCCGATAACGACACCCAAGATCCGCACTCGGTTTCTGAGTCCTTTTCCAAGCGGAGCGTGAACTGTAACTTTTTGCCTTCTCCTGACTCTCCCACTCCCACATTCCCTCCGTGGGCACGTTTCTCTCGCTAGACCAAGTCTTCGGGCTCCAAGGTCCCTTCGATCATAGCTACGATCGCTCACGATTCCTCCGCTAAGCCGTGACACCACCGAAGGTCCCTTTGCCCTTATCCTTTTCTCGGCCCCACCTGCCTTTAGTGCATCCAAGAGCTTTGGAGCCACATTTATGCATCTCCACCCATGGTGTGAACAGACTCATTGCGACTTTCCATAGTGGGGAATTGAGACGACCAAGCGTAGATCAGCAACCTATAACTCCTGCAACACGTCAAAGCAGCAGCCTTGCTAAAAGTTGCCGCAGCCATGCAACTCCCGCCACTGCCAGGCTCGTCATTCTATTGGTAGTTTCCGCAGCGTCTTTTTGGTTGCGGGTGTAGGCAGATCACATTGAACACAAGGAACCCACTCCAATTCCATTACATCCCATTATCTGCCATTATGAAGAACTCGAGAATCTCTTGAACACTCGTAGACCAAAGTATCCCGGCGAAAACTATTATGTATCAAGGGTAAAACCTTATAGATAACTCAATTTCTAGGTTCATGGTTAAGAATGATTAATGAAAGCATTGATCTAGTAATTGACATGACAACGAAATTTGGCCTGAAAAGTTCAACAGTAATTATTAATTAAGTTTGTGATTAGGAAAGTAACTGGACTTTACTTCTTCTTTTTTCTCGTTCTTCTGAAATTATGCGTTTTGAAGAACCAATGCTCTTTCGATTATCGCGTGCCACGGAGTCAAAAACGCCAGTCTTCTGCATCTCCTCAAATCCCACCAAGCGGATATCTGCAGTACTGCAAGTACATATCAAGCGCATTGCAGTTCTCACGAGCTGCTAGGCAATGACTGACCAATTACAGCACACATGACAGGCTTTGGGGCATGCGGGTTCGTTCACCGGGGCACCGGCAGAACCCAAGCGCAAGGAGGCTACGTGCGGGAATCCATCGGCACCATTATCTTCGCTAATCATTTTTGCGTCGCAAAGTGTCATCGAATCCCTTCTCCAGAATCCTACGCGGTGCGGAATCCCAATGCTCACGTAGACGTCAATGACAACTCCGAGAGGGGTGGGGTGGGGCTAGGGTAAGATGCAGCACTGCCACACAATCCCACCGCAATCGGCCACCGAATGTTGGTAATACATTCACCGAAACCTACCGAATTCCAATCATGAACCCAAGCATGGCAAGACGTCGCTGGCGGGGGTTAGGGGGGAGCCAAGGATAGTATCCCACCACTGACAGAAAGCGGCAACAAAAGCCTTCCACGGCTGTAACCGTACTGCTTGTGGCCTCAAATGTGAACACTTCGAAGTCAGCGTCGCAAAGCCGCACCAGTTCGGCGAATAGAAGCGAGAAGTCAAAACGTACAAGGAGACACACCAATTAGGCGTGGGGTGTGCCGGTGGGACCCTCCAGCGTTATCCCCCAGTAACCCTTTAGATGAACACCGTGTTTCAGTGAGATTCTGACCATCCAATGTATTCATCCGTTCGATCCGACGTGGCTGTAGTGTTTTCGTCGGCACCCAGCCCCACCGTGACTGCTACTACTATTACTAATAATAGTGTAATAGTTTTATTAATGTTACTTTTTTACTTTTAATAATAGTATCTTGACCTAATGTTAGGCCTTACGTCCTTGTTCTTACCCCCTAAACCCTAAACCTGGTCTTTTTCTCATGCAATTGTGGGAGTGGGGAATTGGTGAAGAGAGTGCATTCTCCAAGGATTTAGATTTGTTTGCATGAAAGTTTAGTGAGTGTGATGTATTTTGATGGCCCTTGAAGAATGAAGTACTATGAACTTCCTTTGAAAGGGGTAGTTTTCTTATTTGTCCTTTTTTTTTCTTCTTCACATGGTGCAATGAAGTGTGGGAAATTAGTAGAGAAAAGGGTATGGGAAAAATTATTGAGGACTGATTCATTTTCATTGAATTTTAACTAACTTGATATATTTGAAGAATGAAACAGTTATTAGAGAATTGCTAAAAGTAATTTAGAATAAAGATGAAAAAATAAAGCTATTTTTTGCCTAGTTTGATTCAATGCACTAAGGTTCTTCAGAAAAAACAAACAAAACACAATTTTGTCCTCTCCTTGGATGGTGTGAAATTCTTCATTAGAATAAACATGTGATATTTTTTTTTCTTCTTTTTTTTTCCTATTTTCCAAGAAGAATTATCATAACTATCTTCCTACTAAATAAAACTTATGTTAAATTTTTATAACTAAAAAAAAAATAAATAAATAATCACTTTTTCTAACATTATAGTGAGGCTCCTAAGATCAACGTCAAGCAATTCATCTCCTTTTTTTTCCGAGTTAACGGGGCCCACTTTTAAAATTTGTACAAAAAACCTGCTTTTTTGTCTGCTTCTTTCATTACTTTTTTTTTCTTCATGCAATAGAATATATATATATATATATATATATATATATATATAACTTTAAAGTTACACTTTTTTACTAATTGGAGCCATTCTGTTGATAAATTGTAGCCTCTAATTAAAAACATCTATAGAAAAATAAGAGCTAATTAAAGCTGTGACCTTAGTTAACAAATTTAAATTCTAGAAATGAGTTTGTGTTTTTAGGGGAGAGGTTGCAAAATTCATTCATAAAACAATATTTGTGAAAGAAAATTTGACTTAGTTGCAATAAAGAAGTAATACATGAATGATCTGGTCTTATTCCTCAACTTTACTTTGCTTATCCAAATTTAATAATATTAAATGAAAAAATAAAATTTAAAATTTAATATAAAACTCTATCAAGTCCATGAGATATCGTCACATTATTTTGTTTCTTAAATATTCTTATTAAATTCCTATTTAACGTTATTTTATTATAATCCAAACAACAATACAAAAGAAAGTCATATGCTTAAACCATTTTGAGATAATCATGAAAGGAGATTAAAAAAAATTTAATTGTGAAATGATGATCTTCTTATGACATAAAGATTAGAGAATAAACAAACTGTTTATAGCAACAACTAGGTTGTGAAAACAATATAGGATTTTGCTAATGTCACCACTATTTTTGCTATTGCCACGACAACTTGTTTTTATTAAATATTTAATTATTTAAAAAAATTAAATTTATTTCCTATGTATTTTTTAGAAAAGAAATCATATAAGAAATATCAATAATTATTTTGTTTGGAATAAAAGAAACTAAAAATAATATGTCAAATAAATGATGGATTATAGCAGTAGTAAAAATTGTGGTGACATTAGAAATTCTATATATATTTATATATATATATATATATATATAGATACTTAATGTATACAAATATAAATTAAGTTAAATAAAAGATTGAAGATGGAGATTTTTATAGTGTTTAGACATAAGAACATGATCACTATAGGAAATTATTAATAGTCATGGATCATAATATAGATTTAGTATTTTTCATCTCTTTAAAATAAATAAATAAAATATTAATTATAAATAATATAAATTAAAATTACTATATTTAGTATTATATAATTCTTTTATTAAAGAATAAATTATACTAAAACTTTAGTAAAACAAATTTATATTTTCTTTTTCCTTTATTTTAATGATTTTTTATAATTAAATTTTATTAATTAATAAAAAATAATTAAATAAAAAAACTACATGTGTATATGTATATATGTAATGCTTTAAAAAAGGGTTTTTCACATCACATTTAGGCTAAATAATAGTTTGATGTTTTTTAAAAAATCAAAATCTATGTTAATTTACAGAGGCTTTATAGTTTAACATATTAATATTGATACATAATAATCTTTTATGTGGACTTAAAATTATTTTGTATTACTTCTATTTATAAAGTTGCATTATACTAGATATGTAAAGGTTGAAAAACAAAAACTTCATGACCAAAAAAATATACTTCAATTACATGAGAAAAAGCTTAACTATATACATATATACATATTCTATCAAGTTTTATCTTAGTAGAATTCAGACAAATCTTTCAGAACATAAAACAAACCAAAATTTTAAGCAATGCAATAAGTGAGCATTGCTATTGATGTGACAAGTTTGGATATATTATATAATATTTTTCTTAAAGATAAAATAAATACCTTTATTCACTATTAAAATTATTAATTCTGATTAAGATATTAAAAATATCTCTTGCAAAATTTAGAAGATTTAAATCTCAAAATATTTTTATTTTTTACTTTAAATATTCTAATAGATTTATGAATTTTTTTTAAATTTATAAAATTCTAGTGTATGTATATATGTGTATATATATATATATATATATATATGCATGAATATAAATCTTTTACTATATATTTTTACTTTCATGTATCATAATGATTTTGCTTTAAAGTCTACCTCCCTTGTTATGTATGTATATATCAATTTTTTGTTCAGATCAATGTTTTTTTACAGATTAGATGGTGTAAGTTTGTTGAGCTTGATAGAATAAAAAATAAATAAAATACAGTAACTTATTCATTGCAAGAATAGTTTTATATTATTCAAGATGTAGGCTCTTACAAGTTTTAGGAATTATCTTTTTTATTAATCTATACTTATTTAATTATAACACATAATAATTTAAAATTCTTTATAAACAAATGTTAATATACTTTATATTCACAAATTCGAAATTCTATGACTCCTTAAATCTAAAACATTTGAAAAAACTTAAAGATTTTAAAACACAAATGATAAATCTTGTACAGAGTGTCTAAAACACTA